AGCTTCGCACAGCCTGTCTTATATTGAAACGATTATTTCTTAGTGATTTAGTGTTTAATGTTTCTCGAGAACTAAAGCCTGTAGAGCGCTGAAAATTCATGTCTGTACTTGTATTGGTCTGTAGTATACAGCTACTAGAGTGAGAACAGCACAGCATTACTTTGGCAAGAACATGAAAATTGTCGTTTTCTCGATTTCTACTCCAGGAAAAAATACGCGAACAGTATATATAAATGGCTGATGTGGATAACGTATCTGTGAGCAAGTTAGAAATTTTCTAATTTTTTGGAAGGAGTTACGATTTTTTCTTTGTTTTTCGGGCGGTTATGTCTTTTTGGTTTTTGGCTTCAAACACGAGATGGATTCGAACTAATACGAAAGTAAGAAGCTCTTGTAGAGCTTACTTTGCTCTATCAAAAGGTCCCTCAAAACCTGTCTAGGACCAAGAATTTCATGACTTATTGCGATGGAAAGTGGAAACGGACGGAAGTTATGAGACAACCTGATATTTTAATAATATTTAATACCCTAGATTCACGCGTACAATGCGCACCTTTTTCGATTTTTCAAACGTGCCGCTCAGCCTCCTCGTTGTATTTCGGAAAGCGAGACTTATGCCGCACGATACTCTCAGGCAATATACAGCGCTGTATATAGTTTTTTGTTCGCGAAGTCCTTTGCCGTGTTTAGGCTGGTCGGTTTTCGAGAAAAATCCCCGCGCCTTGTACGCGTGAAATTAGGGTAATTAATTTCCGAACAACCTAATATATTTATTTTGAGGAGGGGCCGAAGCCGGGTATGCCAGCTAGTTTGATGCTACTGAGCCCATCTTCGCTTAGGTGCAAAAGATTTGTGATGGCTTAATTGTTCGCCTCAAAAGCCTTTTTATAAGCAAAACGATGCGAAATAGTAGAAAATCTTAATTGTTTTCGCAGTGGATCAAAAAATTTTCCTTTTGAGGCGTTTTAGCCAAGCAAATTCAAAGCTTTATCCTGTGGCCTCAGGCAAACAAATTACTTTGAGGCAGTAAACCCTCTTTTGCAAAAACTTGACGACGTTTCCTCGATTCTGGGCAAATCTATGATCTCTATGCCATTACTGCATGTTAATGTTCGTTTCTAAAATTGGATCGAAAGGAGTTGACTTCTCACTATTGATCTATTAAGTTTTGCTTGACCTTCCAAATAAGCGAACTTTGATTAGGGAGACTTGAATTTGATAGATGAGCGACAAAAGCTTTTTGGTGAACTGTCGAAATCTGAACGTCATGCCAATTTCTATGATACATGGCACGACGTTGACATTCTCATGAAATCGGGAATATATTTTGTAAAGTGGGAAGGGGACGAGTTACGTAGTAGGACCAGGTCGGACCACGGCTCGATCTCGCTTTTGAAGTGCCAATAAAGCCCTCTCAGTCTGGGGCCGTGAACTGGCCAGATTTTAGGAGGATAAAAACTGTGTAGCGCTGACTCGGCTAGCCGCCTCAAGTCATTGTAAAAGGCATGCACACATTCATTGAGCTCTGAAGTAGAGTGCGTTCGGCGCATGCTCGCATATGGTACAGGTCATGCGAAATCCTTTATCCATACTTATTCCTACTGGGAAAAGGTTTTTTGGGTTAAGTGTCTAGCTGACGGGGAAGCAAAAATCTTTGCAGGTGACTCTTTAATTGCTGCTTTACGATTAGGAATAAGTTTCATCCAGCAGAGTCGAAAACATTTTTGAATATTTCTGGAGCGTGGCCTCAGCAGACTTACGGCACCGCCTCTGGTGTGCAAGGAAGAGACAATGTAAAGGTAGGTTTTTATAAGCGCAATCAGAGATGTAGCGACTCGCTACACCTAAATATTGGCTCTGCTGATGAGGGGCAATTGCTGGTCATATTCGGAATGGCTACAGTTGCATCAGATGACTTTCGTGCTAATTTAGTAAGGAGTCAGTAAGCCTTACGCAAGCCCAAATAATGAGATCTTCCTAAGGCTGGTTTTGATGGAATGCTCGGTCTTGGAGTCGACCCCGACAGTGCAATCCCCAGTGACCCTTTTCTGGTGCAGCTTGATAAGAGCAGTGAGCATAGATTTTCAGTCAGCCGTTTCAAATATTCTAACCGTAATCACTTCATTTAGAAGAGACTTTGGATCGAACGATGTTCACAGTCTATATGAACCAAAAATCACAACCCTCGAACGCAGGGAGTGTGGGTCATGGTGGCACAGGTTCCGGCAATTGCCCAACGAGTCCTATGTACCACCAATAATCATCAAATACTTTTGATGATAATCTACCTCAAGATAAGTGAAATATTGATTACTTATAACATACAAATTGTCCCAAAAATGTGCACAATGCTTTTGTTAATAGCTTTCTTGTCATCAAGTCTCCGGAGAAGTTCTAACAAGGAGAGAATACTTAGTCGAAAGCACCAATCCAGATGAGACACATATTTTCTTAAAGCGCTTAAAACGCTGATTCCAAATCTGTAGTATATAGCAGCGGAGCGGTTTTGTAGAAGGAGTTCTGAGGGGTGTTTCGCTTTGGGGTTGAGGGTGTCCTTGTAAGTACCATTTTGTAGAGCTGACTACTTAGATACACGGTATAGAACGAATCCCTTCTGCGTTTTACGCTGATTGAGGTGGTATATACTTCCGCAACTGCCATTTTCAGTCTGGTTCCATTTCCTTGTAAGTAAGCCAGAGAACTTTGTCTGGTATATCTGGCACACTCTCTTAGCTCTAAATTGCGCTGCTAAGCTGATGACCTCTGGAGAAATCGCACTTCCTAAACGTCTCCACCTGTCTACAAGGAGTTTATCTCCTGGCATCTGCCTTGGTGATATGAAAAGTGCGGGTGAGGACGGCATCTCATTCCACATTCGTCTGTATTGAAAACACTCCTTTCTCTCCACTTTTGATATGCTCATATTTTCTTCTACGGTATGTACAACTATAATTTTTCTGGAAAAATTATTCTTTTGCTGCCCATGGACGATGTAAATTGAACTTACTAATACATTTCACGCACATGTGTTAGTACTGATGAACAAGCTCCCAGAAATTATAACAAAAGCAAAAACTCAAACTTGCCAGCAATGTGCGTGTGCTCTAAAGAATATTCTGATGGAATTCTGATTTTACGTATAACGAGACGCGGATGAAGAGCGACAGCCGCAGCAATTACAACTTATTAGTTTGACTTCTTTGTCAAAGGCAGTAGTATTGAGGACGATGGATTGAAGCGAAATCCTATCAGGAGACCAGAATTAAAAAATTGAAGTTGAACTGCGTTGAGCTGTTATCACTAAACCATTACCAACGTAAGCTGTGAACATGGTCCTTTTAGAAATCGGACAAAAAGTATATTTGTCTATGCACCTGTCTTACTACAAGGGCCGTGCATTTGGAATTTGAAAACATATCAACTGCAGCTTTTTTGAATATTTTTGCGCTTTTCGTGTCTCAGGTGCGGCGGGTGCACAAGCACTTGCGACTCGAGAACCACTAAAAGAAAATTTTCAAATGGTAGCGATTTACGCAGTTTTCAGCATTTTCTTTTGTTTGCGCATTAATGACTACGATCAATTTTCACAAAGTTTTAGTGATGCAACCTGATATACTTACTTGTTTCACTGTGCTATAAGGTCGAGTAAATCACCCTTAAACTTGAAGATTTATACTATAAATGACCAACTTTTCCAGCTATGCGATTGTTTTCGCCAAATCGCATAATGGGTTTCAGGGAGATTTGGAACGAAGCAGAGCTGCTGACTAGCGGTTGATATTGTTGCACAATTGCACCAAAGTTAATCGCTAATCGGCAGGTATTCTTAGGCTCTGTACCATGTGGTAAAGTAAATATTTCTCATGCTAAATATCCTTGTGAACATGCTGCAAACAATGCTTTATTCGTATCTTATCACAAGAAAAAACAGGAAATGAGAGAAAGACTGCTCATCGTTTTGTTTATCGCCTGCATCTGTCTTGCTGATACTAATGTTGTTTGTTGTAATTCGAGGAATACCCTTGTCGCGTCTCGCGATGCAAGGCGCTCCTCGTAGCACGGAGCCCGGAGGCATCTGTTGCCGCGCTATCCGGCGACGAATGCGGTAGCCGAGACGCGTGTTGCCGCGATCGTCTCCGGACCTCCCCTTTATTGGCTTGTTGCTAGCCAGGCGGCTATATAAAGCGGCGGCGCCTCAGGTGCCTTGTTCGTCTTCATTCCTATCGATTGATATCATTTCTTATTCGAATATCATATTTCAGCCGCTATGCTCCTGTCCTTTTTTGTAGAAGCAGTTGAGCCCGAAGTTCTTTGTATTAAGAAACGGATTCTTTTCATTAGCGCAGCGCACTCCCTCTGCATCAGCGAAATCGCCATGCCAGATCTTTGCACTGTTCGCACGCGTATGGTTGAGCATCAAGCCTGACTTTATTTTAGGAGCCCACAAGCAGATCGCTTGTTTTGCGGTGCGTAGTTAGTTTCCAAAAACGGCTTGATTGATACAAACTGTACGAACGTCTCAACGCTCACAGTCTAGGTCAAGAAAGTGAAGAAATTCAATCTTCAACAGCACATGTGTGAACGGTATTCAGTGTTTATAAACTGTGCATTTTGCAAGGCAAAACTGAATCCACACGCTTTAGTGATAGCATGGTATGGTTGTGGTTGCGGTGCCAGTGATTTTAGTGATACCATGCCTTGTGGTTTCGTACACAGCAATATTTTACGCCTTAGCACTAGGGAGGATTGTGTTTCAAGTTAAAATTCTAACACCTGCAGGAGCTGGAGAAGAGGTGCCGTCGTCTACAGCCTTAGCGTTACGCGGTGGATTTGTTGCGCGAAACCTCGGGAGCCACATGTATCTTTTACTTTACTTGTAGGCGCGCACCGGTAGCATGAAACGGGCCCTCGTCCCGCGTTTCGTTAAGTAATAGCAACTTGTTTTGGTTTAGTGTTCGTTTTTGTCTATTTTCAATTGTAGTGTATTGTCATAAGGATGAATCACATAATTTATTTACCGTTCTTTCGGTCGCGCGTTAGTGCGCAGTAGGCTAGGCAAGTCGCTTAGTATCAGGCGAGCAAGGCGTCGCCAATTTCAATACCAAGGGCAATTCTGCCTGCAAGCCTCTATGCTAGAGTAAAGTATGGGGGTGATGAGGCTCCAGCCGTTGTACTCAAAACACTGAAGTCGTCTTGAATTGCAGTAATAACGTTTCCTGAAACGATTACGCTTTTGCTGCCCATTAGGACGATGTAATTCAAACTTACTCCGATGTTTCGTCCGCATGTGTTAGTACTGATAAGCAAGCTCCTAAGATGTATAGAAAAAGCAAAAACTTCATACTTGTCTTCAGGGATGAACGTGTGCTCTAAAGAAAACTCTGATGTAATTATCAGTACGCATAACGAAACGCGGTGAGAAACGACAGCTGCAGCGTTTACAGCTGATAATTTGTCTTCTTTTCAGAGGCAAATATAAAGGAAGATGGAATGAAGAAAAGTGCTATTAGGAGATCAGAATCAGACAACTGAACTTGAACTGGGTTTGCAGAGAATGGGTTAATGGAGTGAGAAGCTCGTTCTGCTAAAGTTCGACTGCCCTGCTAGATTTCGTAATGAGTAAACTACATCCTTGCGAAATGGCTGACTTTAAGGATTGCGGGGGTTTATGATTTTTGCTGCGCTTAGCTGGTTCAAGCTCTTTAAACACACCAATTGCACAATGTCTCAATGCACGTTTGCAAAGTTTGACAATCAACGTCTTAGCTGTTTCAATTTTTCTGTTGCCTGCTTGATTTATATGAACGGTTAACTTTGACTCATATTTTGGCATAGTTGTCAAAAAATACCAATTTTGCGCCACTAAGAACCATTTCCAGCTTCGAAAAGAATGCTGTGAGGAATAACCAGAAACACTTGACAACCAGTTTGCCGGGTTTGAGCTAGTCATGAAATACTTAGACTTACACTGGTCAGTACTTATTTATATATACATTTAAAACATATAAAATGATTATTGATATACTGATTTAAAAGGAAGTAAAAACTTTCATATATGTGCAGATTTATCTGATCTTTTAGATGATTTCACGAAGTCGATAGGAGGTTGCCCTTGAATCTAAGTGAAAATCGCTCGTAGGTAAAATATTGCAGTGTACGAAACAACAAGGCAAGAAATGCTATCGCTAAAGCGTGTGGGTTCAGTTTAGCCTTGCAAAATGCACAGTTGTCATAGACACTGAATACTGTTCACACATTGATGTGCTGTTGAAGTTTAAATTCCCTCACTTTCTTGACCTAGACTGCGACGATTGAGACGATTGTACAGTTTGTGCCAATCAAGCCGTTTTTGGAAACTAACTACGCACCGCAAAGCGAGCGTTTTGCTTGTGGGCTCCCAAAATAAAGCCAGACTTGATGCTCAAACCATACGCGTGCGAACACTGTGCAAAGATCTGGCTTTTGCCAGAAAAGATGAACGAGAAAATTATGAGTGAGATGGTTGTCACTGAACCTGGCTAGCCTTAAGTAAGCAGCACAAGTCGAATTCCTCTTTGACATCAAAAGTTTTATAATCTTCTTCACCTGTATTTGGCACTAAAGAGTCTATCGTTGCGGCTTTAGTTCAATTAGAGACTATGTTAAGCTGCTTAGCCAAGTGCAGAGCACAATAGTGCTATACTGTAGCACCAAATCTGAAAAGCAGATTTTTCTGCCAAACAAAGGCGATTCTGGTTTATGCCCACGAATTTTTTGACTATTGCAATACCAGTCACATTTCTTGAGATCGTGTTGGATATTTGCTTTGAGCTCTATGCATTGTAAAGCGAACCAGCGTTTATTATTGAGGAACGCTCTGAGAGGTAGCCCCAGCGCTGGGCTTGAGGGTGTACAAGAGCGAATTACAAAATAGTGAATACTAGTAAATCTAATAGTCAATAAAATATAATGATAATAACTAATTGTGGCTTCCTTGTGTTCGGGTTAACGATAAGCAGCAAGGCCAGTTTGATGTCCAATACAATTCCAACTTATGACCATTTCAGTTTTGTTATCATTGGTGTGGAAGCAGAGTGTGGAAATAAGATTGTCGACCTTGATTGTCTCGCTTCTTTGTAGATTGAACTCTTTTTGGGAGTTTGAATTTTGGCTTACCTTAAAGAACGAAAGTGGTATCACTTTTGACAACGATGACATCAGCTTTATCAGCTCTTCGCCTCAACATAGATAATTATGTTGGCTCATAAATAATTTCGTTTGGACAAGCAAATTCGAAACTCCATAAAAATACAAGTAACTGTTAACTGGTTACATTTTGTGTGAGCGAATAGCTTCAAGCTTCTACTACCACATGCTTATTATGTAGAATTCACAAGCGTGATAAAATACAGTTATGACCTTATATGGCTAGCCTTCCAAAAAAATACTTTTTTAACATTCCACGTTTCGCTCTCAGTTTGTGATAAGTGCAGAGACAAGAAATTTGGTGATTGAATACATACTAGCTGATAAAGAGCTGATAAAGCTGATGTCATCGTTGTCAAAAGTGATACCACTTTCGTTCTTTAAGGTAAGCCAAAATTCAAACTCCCAAAAAGAATTCAATCTACAAAGAAGCGAGACAATCAAGGTCGACAATCTTATTTCCACACTCTGCTTCCACACCAATGATAACAAAACTGAAATGGTCATAAGTTGGAATTGTATTGGACATCAAACTGGCCTTGCTGCTTATCGTTAACCCGAACACAAGGAAGCCACAATTATTTATTATCATTATATTTTATTGACTATTAGATTTACTAGTATTTACTATTTTGTAATTCGCTCTTGTACACCCTCAAGCCCAGCGCTGGGGCTACCTCTCAGAGCGTTCCTCAATAATAAACGCTGGTTCGCTTTACAATGCATAGAGCTCAAAGCAAATATCCAACACGATTTCAAGAAATGTGACTGGTATTGCAATAGTCAAAAAATTCGTGGGCATAAACCAGAATCGCCTTTGTTTGGCAGAAAAATTTGCTTTTCAGATTTGGTGCAGTATAGCACTATTGTGCTCTGCACTTGGCTAAGCAGCTTAACATAGTCTCTAATTGAACTAAAGCCGCAACGATAGACTCTTTAGTGCCAAATACAGGTGAAGAAGATTATAAAACTTTTGATGTCAAAGAGGAATTCGACTTGTGCTGCTTACTTAAGGCTAGCCAGGTTCAGTGACAACCATCTCACTCATAATTTTCTCGTTCATCTTTTCTGGCAAAAGCCAGATCTTTGCAGAGTGTTCGCACGCGTATGGTTTGAGCATCAAGTCTGGCTTTATTTTGGGAGCCCACAAGCAAAACGCTCGCTTTGCGGTGCGTAGTTAGTTTCCAAAAACGGCTTGATTGGCACAAACTGTACAATCGTCTCAATCGTCGCAGTCTAGGTCAAGAAAGTGAGGAAATTCAAACTTCAACAGCACATCAATGTGTGAACAGTATTCAGTGTCTATGACAACTGTGCATTTTGCAAGGCTAAACTGAACCCACACGCTTTAGCGATAGCATTTCTTGCCTTGTTGTTTCGTACACTGCAATATTTTACCTACGAGCGATTTTCACTTAGATTCAAGGGCAACCTCCTATCGACTTCGTGAAATCATCTAAAAGATCAGATAAATCTGCACATATATAAAAGTTTTTACTTCCTTTTAAATCAGTATATCAATAATCATTTTATATGTTTTAAATGTATATATAAAATAAGTACTGACCAGTGTAAGTCTAAGTATTTCATGACTAGCTTAAACCCGGCAAACTGGTTGTCAAGTGTTTCTGGTTATTCCTCACAGCATTCTTTTCGAAGCTGGAAATGGTTCTTAGTGGCGCAAAATTGGTATTTATTGACAACTATGCCAAAATATGAGTCAAAGTTGACCGTTCATATAAATCAAGCAGGCAACAGAAAAATTGAAACAGCTAAGACGTTGATTGTCAAACTTTGCAAACGTGCATTGAGACATTGTGCAATTGGTGTGTTTAAAGAGCTTGAACCAGCTAAGCGCAGCAAAAATCATAAACCCCCGCAATCCTTAAAGGCAGCGTCCGGGCAGATATGAAATTTTTGCATACAGGAGCTCCCGCTCTGGTAAAGCCCTTGCCCAACTGGCAGCGCACTAATTTGTTTCTGAAGCGAGAAAACCGCTTCAGAATTGGCGACAGGGACGCCCCAGCGACATGCCCGCCCCTCAATCGATAGCCAGAGTACGCGTATGTCGCACACAGTCAAGGCGTAGGGTCCCACCACGACTCTGCGTCTTAACCTCGGCGGCAAGCTTCCATATTCAAAATAAACAGCCTCTGGAATAGCCCATTTTCGACGTTTTCGTACTCTGCAAGCTGCATTTTCGCAATCAGCGGGAAGAATAAGCCCAGGTAAGCGAAAAAAGTTTTGTTCGAAATTTTGCCCGGACGCTGCCTTTAAAGTCAGCCATTTCGCAAGGACGTAGTTTACTCATTACGAACTCTAGCAGGGCAGTCGAACTTTAGCAGAACGAGCTTCTCACTCCATTAACCCATTCTCTGCAAACCCAGTTCAAGTTCAGTTGTCTGATTCTGATCTCCTAATAGCACTTTTCTTCATTCCATCTTCCTTTATATTTGCCTCTGAAAAGAAGACAAATTATCAGCTGTAAACGCTGCAGCTGTCGTTTCTCACCGCGTTTCGTTATGCGTACTGATAATTCCGTCAGAGTTTTCTTTAGAGCACACGTTCATCCCTGAAGACAAGTATGAAGTTTTTGCTTTTTCTATACATCTTAGGAGCTTGCTTATCAGTACTAACACATGCGGACGAAACATCGGAGTAAGTTTGAATTACATCGTCCTAATAGGCAGCAAAAGCGTAATCGTTTCAGGAAACGTTATTACTGCAATTCAAGACGACTTCAGTGTTTTGAGTACAACGGCTGGAGCCTCATCACCCCCATACTTTACTCTAGCATAGAGGCTTGCAGGCAGAATTGCCCTTGGTATTGAAATTGGCGACGTCTTGCTCGCCTGATACTAAGCGACTTGCCTAGCCTACTCGCACTAACGCGCGACCGAAAGAACGGTAAATAAATTATGTGATTCATCCTTATGACAATACACTACAATTGAAAATAGACAAAAACGAACACTAAACCAAAACAAGTTGCTATTACTTAACGAAACGCGGGACGAGGGCCCGTTTCATGCTACCGGTGCGCGCCTACAAGTAAAGTAAAAGATACATGTGGCTCCCGAGGTTTCGCGCAACAAATCCACCGCGTAACGCTAAGGCTGTAGACGACGGCACCTCTTCTCCAGCTTCTGCAGGTGTTAGAATTTTAACTTGAAACACAATCCTCCCTAGTGC